AAAATTATTTTCTTGTCAGAAAGCTTGGGAAAGAAGAAATCAGCAACAAGGTAAATAAAAAGAAATGTATCTTAAGAGAATTCTTATTCCAACTATAGATTTTATACTGGCTCTCTGTAGGTACAATGAGAAGTAGCAAGAAGCTTAACATTCTGTGAAGACTTTTATTTCTGGGAATTCTTAACACATTCCACATTTATTTTTATGGCCTTCAAAAGGCATGTTAAATTATTTAACAACAATTGTAATAGAATTCCACATTAACTTATTTTTAAGCTTCTATTTAAAACCTTACATCTGTGCACTAGGTAAAAATCCCCAAAAGTAATAGTCTTTTTCTTCTGCATTAACACCTGACCCCTAACCAATATATATAGTAGTTGTTCACTAAACATTTGTGCATTGAGTGAAAAGCCAGAGCATCTCTAACCTCTGGTATGAGAGAAAGAATTTTGTGAAAGATTCCATCATACAGGGGTACCTGTGAGAGCCAGAAGTCAACGAGACTGCCTTGTTTTTCTAGTCTCACAAGTTTTCCACCTTTGATAGGGTATAATCTCACCATTTTTCTGTTGCTCATTTTATTAGAGTTTCCTTCTCTGACAGGTTTCCACCTTAGACAGGTTCCAGCTTTTGCAGGTTTTCCTGTATTAAAAACCATAATAAGAAACATTTCTATTGTGACACAATATATATATATGTGAGGTATATTTATATAAATGAAACAACATGAATCCTTACTATGTGCAATTCCTTTGTTTTCTGATTCATTTTTTAAGTAGTGATCATGAGTACTAGTTGATTTCACCACCTAATATTGGGTTGTGAAAAACACTGCCCTGAGCACAAAAGATAAAGCATTCAACTTCAAACCAAAATGTGGTGGTTCAGATCCACCCAAAGGCACCTCAGAAGAAAGACCTGGCAATCTGCTTCTGAAAGAGCACAGCCATTAAGAACCCTGTGGTGCACAATTCTACTCTGACACACTTAGGGTCTTCATGAGTTGGAATCAACTTGATGGCAACTTTTTTTTGTGTTAATAAAATAATAACAAATTCTGTTTATAGAAAATTATATATGCAACACAGTTTTCAGATGGTTGTCTCAATGTGTGCAAAGTTGAACACATGATTGGTATAAAATGTCACGGTAAACTAATCACTTAACACTTGCAGTCTGCCCCTAGTGCTTGCACAGACTAATACAATGGCTTCCATAGGGAAAACAGGCAAAGAGAAGACTTGCAAGTGACATAAAGTGGTAGTAAACCTTTATTTTTTGGCACAGCAAAGGACACATTTCTAAGGATGTGTATAGAATAAAGACATAAGGTACAGAATGAGCAAAGTGGCCAAATCCAAGCTTGATTTCATGCCACTGGGAGCATGACCAAGTCCTAGCATCTCCACTGGGTCATATTTGGCTAGTGGAGGTATCAGTCATAATAAACTAAAGCACTCCCTCAGCGTTCCCAGACAAGGGCTTCCTGGCTGGGCTTTTAGGACATTGACATATCTGGATGAATATTAACATCCCATGATCTAGATTTTCTTTCCTTAACCCTATTTTGTTAAATGTGGATACATTATGTAAACAGTTCCTTGGGAAGGAAGGGAACTTGTGAGAAGAAAAACTAACACCACTGGCAAAATAAGTATGTGTTTATTTTATGAGTTACTGAAAACTGGTTAAAGCAATATATTGTAGTGTTCACTTAACATGTCTCGACTTTCTCATCAGCAGTGTTGAAAACCTAATATTTAAAAATTATCTCCATGCCTGTACCTGTGCACTGAATCACTTCCAAATTGAGCAGTCAAACCTGGTTAATCTGAATCACTTTGCAAACTTCATTACATTACTTGGCTTTTTAAAAATCCTATTGCATTTAATAAGAACATATCCTACAGCTAGTTATCACTTAAATCTTATTATTTGGTCATTTAGACAAACCAAGGACAGATTAATCCATTCTTTGATGGAAAGTTAGGTCCTTTAAAATGTCAGTGTAAACTTGACATGTATGTGAGAGC